ACTAATTCTCGTTTATAGAGAAGATATACGAGTAACCCTCCAGCACACCTTTAACTTTTCCGTTTATAGGAAAGTGGTAATATTTCGGAATCGGTATTAGTTGTGTTTACATCAAAATTAACCATGTGTGACATAATATAGAAACTAATACATTAATATGCATTAAAGTTTTAAAGTCGAAAAGTTATAATTTCAATAATTTTATTAACTCAAACCAACTAAAAACCATACATGCAAATACACATATTTAATAATTAAATTTTACATTTAAACATGAATTTTTTTTGCTTTAATTATGTTTATCGAACGCACGACAATTAGAACTTTAAATTATAAATATAAAACCACTTATACAATAAACAATTTTATATCTTTGTGTTTTATACATTTATTGATATAATGTAATACCCTATAAATTACATAGAATATTATTTAAATTTTAATTATAATATTACTTTTTGTTCTCATTTACGTACTTAGGATTGGCGGTTGACAGTGCATAGGTCGCAGCTGTCATGAGACTAAAAACTGCTCTTTTGACCGGTCGAGCCGATAGCTCGTTATTATAGCTTATCTTATGTATGAGTAAAACAGTATAAAAACCGCGATCGACCACTATCGACCGTCAATACTTAACAGATTGAGATAAAAAAGCCAATTTGAAATTTGAAATCTTAGATAGGTCCTACAAAATGTACAATGAATTACAATGGAAGAATATGAATCATCTCCAGTAAAATTAATAAGTAGGTGTTGTTAAATGTAAAATAAGTAGATCTTCCATTAAAAATCTAACAAGGTATTATCTACATTTCAAGAATTTAAAAAGTCCATTAAATAAGATTATAAGTTGAAATGTAAAGAATTGTTAGTCTTCAAAATCTCCAATAAATATTAGGATTAAATCAATGTCTTATCTAGTGGTATAAAATTGTATATTGTAATATAATATAATGTATAGGACTATGACGCGGTCCCGCGTAATAGCCGTTTGAATTCAAACTGCCTTTGCGCGGAAACCCGCGCAGTTACTTCTCCTTTCAACCGCCAATCGACGATGGACGACACCGACACGCGATAAACGCGCCTGGAATTATTGTCGACCGCCCGTACCGCGAACCGGCTCGTAGTTGGTTAGTTCCACGACCGTGCTTGAAGCGACACCGCACTCATTGTCCTCGCACGCTGTCGTACACTCTACCTGGATATCCTTGATCCGGTCATTCTCATTGTATTAAGTGTTAATTGTCTCTTAGTTGTCACAACAATAAAATAACGATTACTCGCACCACTGCGGACCCAAGAAAACTTGTGTTCTTGTTTTTTTTTTTTGTGCTAGTATAGTACACTGTGTTGTTTTCCTCCAGCCACTAACTACCACCAACAGGTTCGCATCAACTGTGCTTCTTCAGTGTGCTTAAACATTTTGTTTAACAAAATATTAAAATTGGATGATTTACATGCTAATACGTTTGAAGTTTTAAACGACATATCTTGTACTTCATCCGTTAATAGTTTTTCATACGTGCAACGTGCTATCAACATGTAAATTTAATTTAATTGTTGACTGCTGGTTTGATTGTGTTAACCTAGAAATTAACATTATTTCAGAATCATGACTAAAAAATACACAGTAGTCTATTATTTCTTCCTTGTTCTTAACAATAAACGTTCTCGAACAGCTTTTAAATCTCTCAATTTCAACAACTTCACCCTCAGCTGATTCCATCCGTCTACGTTTAGTGATTGTATTTCTTTTCATTTTGTAACTAAATAAATTTATATTAAATATAATAATACATTTTGTTCATATTCCTAACTGATTAAGATTTGATTATTAGTGTATCAGATATTCAGCTTATTGTATGTACGTTTTAATTATTATTTCATCAAAATATTACAGGAATTAAAGTATGTTATTCAACGACATGTCACAGCCACCGAACGTGTTCGAATTCGAATTATACGAACGCGTTGTAGGTTCATGATTAGAGGTCGGATTTATATTCTCTTAAAATCCTTAAAATATGATGTTTTTATGTCGCATAAATTAGGCAATATATTCTCTTAATATTCTTAAAATACCAGATGTATGNACACACACATTGTATGAAACAATTATAAACACTCAGTATAAAAGTGTTCTAGCTAGCATACGTACCTATACTTTTTAGTACCTATCGAGTTGTGATAGACATTTTTTAAATTAAAATTTAAAAACAAAAWAATAATTTATAATGGCTRAATTCATTGAAAGTAACCGGGGAAAGTGTTTATTAATTTTTGAAAATTATAAGTTTTCAAATACAATCATAAATTGTAAATTTTAAAGAAAAGCTGGCCGAAAAGTAAACGTTAAGTTTTGGCCGAAAATAGTAGGGTAAGTGTTGGCCGAAAAGTGACTTTGGCCGAAAACGGTGACGCCCGTAAGAAGGTACCACCGATGCCCAAGCTGACGGTATCCACTAGACCGGGAACTGCTAAAACTGATGTGGAGTAACGGGATTGGCTCAAGGTCATATCAKCTCTACAAGACTATTGCTGTGTATGAATTGTATGTGTGCGAATTGGAAAGTGGCGCCGACGAAGCCAAATGGAAAAAGCTGACCCCCATTCAGGCATTTCCGTCGAGACACAACCTGTACGAAATCACTGGTTTGAAAAGAGGAATCGAATATTATTTCGCGGTACGCTCGATGGACGTACATGAGAGACGTTGGCCCTTTGACTTCATATGTATACGCCGTGAAAAACGGACATGTGCACCAAAAACGAGACATAAGGTACGTACGTCAGTTTGTCAAATTTTCAATTGGTGGTACCTACCATTGATTTTAAATATACAGATAAAATATCGCATAGTAATTTTTGGTGACTAAAATTATGCTGCCGGTTGCTAAGTTGGTTGTATAAGTTGCATTAAGCAAAACATAAATGTATACAGCACATTTTATACAAATTTTATACAGCAAGTTTTACCAGTTTATAATTATAATTTTATAATATTTATAAATATATAATTAAATTTATAATTATAATAAATTTTTTAAATTTTTTAATTGTATTATAATATATTTTATTTATTGCGGAGCGATAACAAACAAGAGTGGTGGGAAGATTAATTTTATACGGTGTACTGGCGGGGCGATAACAAACAAGTACCTTTAAATATGAATGTATATAATATAAGCTCCAATATTTTAATAAAAATTATTTTATACACCTGATATTTTACATCTAATATTGCTACGTTGATAACTATTGTGAACACTTGGAAATATTTTGATTTATAATAATAGGTATATGTATGTAGTTTTGAGTTTTGACAGTACTAAAATCAAAAATGTGTGCTTGCCAATATTACTGAAAATACTTAAATATTAATTAGACAATAAGATTACTCATAGTTTTGAATTTTCTAAAAGGAAATAGTTAGGTAGTTAAAATTGAAATTGAAGTATAATATTAAATTTTGAAAGTTGTTTCAATGCAAAGTGAAATTCACTAGATAGGTTTAGTAATTAGTATTTATATCACAAGGTATTCTAACTTTAAATGAATATAAAGACATTAAAACCAACAAAATGTGTTAAATTGTTTCAATTATTGATGACACTACAATATTAAATATAAAATTGAAAAATTCTTGATAAGTAACTTTTTTTTCGTATGGCGCTATCTCCGGGAGTAGGCACGAAGGCCTAGTTCAGATGTTTAGACGCCTATTTGGCAGAATTTCTAGGGGGCACTCGTAAGTTGCTGCCATGCCAGGGAGGGGGGGGGGCAGCGGCGTCTCTTTCCAGACAGCGTGAACTGCCAGGAAAGTGATGCTGCCCATGGAGGTCATCTTTGGCTTGGAGGTAAAGCCATCATCGCATGGAAGTTAAGCAATATTTACATAACATTTATAAAGTACATCACATTTGTGTAAGCAATTTAATTTT